TTAATGGTCAATTTTTTCGAAAATGAAAACGTAAGGCACTAAAATTTAAAAATGTTCAAAAAGTGGAGTGAACCACCTTGGCCTGTGAACGGCTTATATGCAAATTCAAACGTTAAAATTTAATTCAAGGAAAGTTCCTTATTAATACACAAGAAACAGAAGGGAATGCACGAGGAGTAAAATTTAATTTTTGACAATTAAAATAATAGTCGACGATTTTTTGTAAATACGATTTATTGAATGTGCATCGAAAAATATTATTTTAAAAAAGTAGTCGAGTTACTAGATTCGTTTAAACATTCCTACGCATTCTGGAAGAATGTTGTTAAAACTCAGACGGTTCCTCGGTATGCACAAAAATTCATGTATTATCCAGCGTTAATTTATCAGCCGTGGACCGGGAAAAGAATCAGCGGAGATAATTTGCAGGCTGGCGGGAGTGTGATTTGCAAAACGGGTCCGACTGCAACAGTTGCATAATCATGCCGAGGAGAAGTTAACTGTTGGCTAGACCATTCGGTTAGCGTGGTCGAAAATGTCTCGAGAGAATCGAGGTTACAAACAGCCAGTTTTTCCTCTCAATACCTTACCAAAAGAGATACAGAACCTGTGTATTTACCTGCGTTCGAACATAGTAGTCTTTTAGCGTTTCTTACAAGTGGGAGAATAATATTTTTTGAATTTCATCTAAAAATTTTGACATTTAAATATTTTTGAACATCGCTAAAACTGTATCTGAATATTACACGCGTTGATTCCACTGCTACACTCTCACAAAACGCCCACTTACAATACCGCTTCGATAAATAAAACGACAGACTGATAAGCTGAACCGTGTACTTTGCCTCTAACAATACGCAAATCTCTCAATCTACTCAACGTATGTCCAAGATTTAACGTCTTTCCCAAATTGATCTCGATGTCGTCGTAGAAACACCCGAAAGAATTATTCCACGCGTCAAAAGGCAACCTGCCGCAACTCACGAGCTCCTCTAAGCGACGACAGAAGCAATTATCAAACAAAGAGACGAAACGAGCCGGGCGTGAACCGATTAATCGCGCGACGACATCCAATCAAAGTCCACTCAGTCGCGGAAGGCAGCACGAGAATCGAATCAGCTCGTGGAAAGCTCGAATCTCCAGTGGACCCTCTAATTGCTCGACACGGCCAATTATTCGATTACTCTCCTTTTCTATCCTTGTCGTCGTTAGAGACTACAGTGGAAAATAGCGAAAAAAGTTTTTCCTAACATGGAGATGGCAAGAACCTCGAAACCACTGCATTCGATTTCTTAGATCGACGATAAAGGAACGCTAAAAGAGTTTGGGTTCATCGACATTCGTTTTCGAGAAATTAGTTACAAATCTCGAGTATTGAGAAACTCCAAATATTCGGTGTATTCCAACAGTCGAATATTCAAATGATTCATTCGAAGCATCTGAATTATCCGAATTATTCGATTTATCTGAATAAAGAATTCGTATTCAAAATTATCCGAGTTACCTGAATTATTCGAATTTCATCGGAATTACTCAAAATGTCCGAAGTATTCGAAGTATCTAAATAAAGTATTCGTATTCGAAATTACCGGAATAGTTCCGCTGTTCGAAGTTTTACAGCCTTAATCGAATGCACGACAGACCAATTCGTTTGAGATTTCGGAGTTCTCGCCGTCTCCCTGCGAAACGGAACAAACGGTGCCAGTTTCGAGGTTTCAGAAGACGAATTTCGCGTCGCGGTTCGTCGGTGTTTTGCGCGACACTCCACTGTGGATCATTAGCAGAGTTGATTGCGTTTCCGGGTTGCTTTAATATTTACCAGCGGCCGCGGCGCTTTTTCCCGGCAGAGCGTCCTCTCGCTTCGTTAGAGCTACCCGCGAAACGCTTGAATAATTGCTCAACCCTCCTCGCTTCTATCCAAGAATTGAAAGGGGGAGAACGCCTCTGCGTTTTGCCTCCCTCAAGCGTGCCTTTGAATTTCCATCAATTATTCGTCGGCACCGGTGTTTGTTCTGTTTCTACATATGAGAAACGACGATTCGTTCCGAGGGTTCGCCGGATTTTGTGGAATCTGCTTTCCGGAAATGCAGAGACGGTTGAAAATGAAATAGGGCTGGATTGAGCGATACACGTTACCGCGTCAAAAGTTCGGCGTGCACGTTACACTTTGAAAATCAATCGAATTTTCCTCGAGTAGATGAACGTTTCATCGAAAATACATATCATTCTGCTGTCAGATGTAACGTCAGAGATTCTTGAAATTCCGAAATCGCGAAAGATTTTCTCCGAATTAACGAGACCAAAAATCAGCTCCTTCTTCTCAAGGGATCTTTCGATAGATCGTCAATTACTACAACTTCAAAGAGGAACACCCAGAGATCCACCAGGATGTCAATCCAGTGGAGATGAAGCACATTGGCGAGGATGACGTGATGACAGTGCCAGCGTACAGAACCCAGTGCGGCAGGAGGATGATGATCTATCGATTAGGCAACTGGGATCCTAGAAAGTACTCTGTGGAGGAGATCTTCAAGGCTACTGTGATCATCTTGGAGCTTGGAGTTTTGGAGCCCAGGGCTCAGATCCTCGGTGGCGTTGCCATTTTCGACTTAGAGGGAATCACTATGGGACACGCGTGGACCATCACTCCTCAGGTACCATTTTCCTTTCAGATATTTTCGAAAATCATAAAAGATACAACAGATATGAAATAATTTTTTTTTTAATATCTTTCGTATCTTCACGTAATTTTAATCATTGTTTGCTAAATGAAGAGTAGGTAAGTGAAAAAAAAAAGAGAGAAATTCAAGGTGAATTTTTTAACAAGAATACGAGTGAAATAATTTATGGAGGATCGAACGGAAGGTGCATCAGACTAAGAAAGAGGGCGCAATTAAGGAAGGGAGACTAATTTATCTCGGCTAGATATCTCAGACGCCGGTATCGATCTACTCTCAGCATTCTTGAAACTTAAGCCATCTATAACGCCCTTGGAACTAATAGTCCCTCGTTTTATCTGGCGACCCGCTGTTACGTTTATTCATCCCGGCCGAATATCCGCTGGCTGCGTGAAGCCGGAACGCTAATGGTGTCCTTGAAACTTCAACAATCCGTAAAGTTCTCGACACCGATTTTCTTACGCGCGCTCCTCCAAGTCATCCTCGTTGTTCCCTGATTCTTCGTTGGATCGTTAGTTCGACGATGGGGAGAGATAACGATGTTCGACAGCGTGGAAGATCGCGGAAAACTTTCCTGCAGGCGATCTTGGAGGAACCTTGCAGTGGTTTTTTCGTTTCTCACATTTCTGTCATTCGAAAATGGTTGTAGAATTATTATTATTAGGATTTGAGATTCTCAAGGTCTTAGAATTTGTCACTTTGCAATTCAAAGTACTGGGGATCATTATTATTAGGGCTCCAAGGTCATTCAAGGTATAGAAATTGTTATTATTAGGATCCATGGTTGTAGCAATTATTATTATTGACTTCAAAAGTTAGCAAGTTGATAGAAATTGTTATTGTTAAAGTACCAAGGTCACCACGATCCTATAAATTGCTTTTATTAAGGTACCAATGTCACCAAGATCCTAGGAATCCTTCTTTTTACCATTTAAGAGTAGCAAGGTCTGATAAACGACTATAATTAGGATGCAAGGTCACCAAGATTCTAAAAAATGTCATTATTAAGGTACCAAGGTCACCACGATCCTAGAAATTGCTATTATTAAAGTACCAATGTCACCAAGATCCTAGGAATCCTTCTTTTTACCATTTGAGAGTAGCAAGGTCTGATAAACGACTATTATTAGGATGCAAGGTCACCAAGATTCTAAAAAATGTCACTATTAAGGTACCAAGGTCACCACGATCCTAGAAATTGCGTTTATTAAGATACCAATGTCACCAAGATCCTAGGAATCCTTCTTTTGACCATTTAAGAGTACCAAGGTCTGATAAACGACTATAATTAGGATGCAAGGTCACCAAGATTCTAAAAAATGTCATTATTAAGGTACCAAGGTCACCACGATCCTAGAAATTGCTTTTATTAAGGTACCAATGTCACCAAGATCCTAGGAATCCTTCTTTTGACCATTTAAGAGTAGCAAGGTCTGATAAACGACTATAATTAGGATGCAAGGTCACCAAGATTCTAAAAAATGACATTATTAAGGTACCAAGGTCACCACGATCCTAGAAATTGCTATTATTAAGGTACCAATGTCACCAAGATCCTAGGAATCCTTCTTTTGACCATTTAAGAGTAGCAAGGTCTGATAAACGACTATTATTAGGATGCAAGGTCACCAAGATTCTAAAAAATGTCATTATTAAGGTACCAAGGTCACCACGATCCTAGAAATTGCTTTTATTAAGGTACCAATGTCACCAAGATCCTAGGAATCCTTCTTTTTACCGTTTGAGAGTAGCAAGGTCTGATAAACGACTATTATTAGAATGCAAGATCACCAAGATTCTAAAAAATGTCATTATTAAGGTACCAAGGTCACCACGATCCTAGAAATTGCTATTATTAAAGTACCAATGTCACCAAGATCCTAGGAATCCTTCTTTTGACCATTTAAGAGTAGCAAGGTCTGATAAACGACTATAATTAGGATGCAAGGTCACCAAGATTCTAAAAAATGTCATTATTAAGGTACCAAGGTCACCACGATCCTAGAAATTGTTATTATTAAGGTACCAATGTTACCAAGATCTTAGGAATCCTTACCGATACCATCTCAGGCTATCATTAAGATCGAAATCCACCAAGACTCTGGAAATCAATGAAATTAGTATCCAAGTTTACTTCAGGAATGTCCCAGATTCAAACTCATGAAAAAAGTCCAAAATCTCGACTCATTTAATTACTCAAGCAATCTTTCCTTCATCACTCTACCATGAAAACATCCTGAGCTTACCCAATCTTATTTAATTTTCAACTCTCTTCCCACTTTTCAATTTGTCCCCTATAAAACACTCTCAACATCCACACACATACAGAAGCTCCAGTGAATGAAGAAAATGAAGCTCCGCGAGCGCAACCCGCAATTAACCCCTCCTTCCCCTTCTCACGACGGTTGCGCGGCAGAACCTAGCTGAAAGCTGTCATTAAACTAAGATCACTCTAGCTTGATTTAAATCTACCCCCGTCGTTAATTAGTCCGGTTCCAGGGTAAACTTAATTAAGTCGACAGTATCTTCAGCCGCTTATTAAACCGCGGAATTCGAACCTTCATTACTTCAGTTCGACTACCTAATAACCTAATAACCAGAGAAGCTAAAACTATCTGTTAACCCTTTTATTCTCGCGTTCTCATAGGTGGCAAGCATGGTGATGGCTCTCATGGTGTCGGCGTTTCCCATGAAGACTCACGCTATACACATTTTACATCAATCTTGGGTGTTCGACGTGATATTCTCGGTGTTCAAGCCGCTGTTGGACGTCAGAATGCAGAATAAAATATTCTTCCACGGTAGCAACATGGAAAGCCTCCACAAGCACATCTCGCCGTCCCATTTGCCGAAGAAATATGGCGGCACCAGGGAGGAATTGGCTTACTACAAGTGGATCGACAGTCTCAGCAAAGTGCCGCAAATCGTGAAGGAGATGAATATGGTTGGCTACATAGTCCCAGAGGAGATACAGAAGCTGGTGCAGGAAGCGGCGGAAGACTGATGTCTTTCGGCGAACTACACAGGTTGAGTCTGCGGACTCTTACCTCTCTTTCACTTACGAATACTAATTTTGCATACTTGATTATTAATTACACACGCATATACATATATATTACTCGTTTCATGGTGCAAATTATATACAGGCACGTCGATTTTTCACACCAACTTTTCTTTCTTTTTCCTTTTTTTCTACGTTTCGACATATTTGTCATAATTAAACGTAACATAGGTGTATTGTATATTTTCTAATCGATTTCCGATGTTACCTGTTTGTAGGATAAAAAGAGTATCGATTAAAACACTTTGGAAGAAATGATTTTATTTGATTCTTCTCTCCGTTTTCCGTGTTCGATGGTAAAAAAAATTGGGAATAAATGGATTCGAAGGGAATTAACGACTAGATGGAAAATCGACGCCGTTCCATTTCCTGGAAAATTGAGGGGTTCTCGCGCGGCGAGAAATCGAAGGGTTCATTTTCCAGGCTGAACGGAACGGAATAAGGGCTATCAATCTTCCCCACTGGGGGCACGTGTATCGCTACGTCACTGAGCCGACGTTCTATTAATAAATAATTTCAAGGAATAATTGACTCGAGGAAAAATCAGTCGAACTATGCGTTTAACGTCTGGTAGATCGATGTTTCAACCGAATATAAGACAGTCTCGTTGCGAGTCGTACTTATTACAGAGCAGCAGGGTATATATTTTCCTAGAATGCTTGGGTAAATAATACGTGAGGAGAATTCAGGTTAACACGAGGAATATCTTTGACGTGTCATAAATCGATTATCTGAAATAAGGTAACATTTTTTATATGAAAAATTGCGACAATTTTTTCCATTCTACTTTGACGGATATTTTGTTCACTTCGATTTCGTGCACCACTTCCAAAGTTGAATTCCTCAAAATAGATAGCAACCCTAATTTCTCGAGTAGAAAGTTCATGAACCCCTTCAACACTCGGTTCACAAGTTGCTCGAAATTGAAGGATCGTGATCATCCTAGTGAAACATAGTGATAAGTCTCGAATTTCTTTGGAACAATTGAATTGACCAGAAGAAGGAGGAAAAGAAAAATTTTCAAATATTTTTACTAAATAAGCAGCTATCACAGTTTAGATTTATCAAAATATAGAACAGTTTCACCCAGCTTCAACTATTTCAATCTACCATTTCCAAAAACCAATTTTCTAAAATACTCCCAAAATTACCTCCAAATGTTCACGAACCCTTTCAACACCATATTAATCGACAAACCTGAAACCTCCTCAAATTATACCGGAACTCAAGAATCCTCGAAACTAACCATCCTCCAAATCACAACCCCAGTTACCTCGCGCTTCCATTGAACACCATGATAATCAACAAACCTCGAACTTCCTCGTGTTTCTTCGTCCTTCCAACACAAGATTAGCAGACTCCAAAAATCCCCCCAAGAGGAATAACAAAACCTGCCTAAACTCACAACCCTAATTATTCCCCTGAGGAGAGAGTGCATTGACCTAGAGAAACACCCCTCCGAAAAATTCCTACATATCGCGTGTGGAAACGAGCGAATCCTCGCACGAAGTGATCGTGTGACCGACATCGAGGCAATTGACGAAAAACGAGCGAGCGTCGACGCCTGTGTAGTCGTCGAAGAGTGCAGCTAGGTCGGTAGGTATACGCGTAGGTAGGGCAGGGACAGAGGGAGGGAGAGAGAGAGAAAGGGAGAGAGAGAGAGAGGAGCAGCAGGTAGGTCCCTGGGTGGCGTGCTACTGGGCTTTGTGGTGGTTGATATCGACCCGCGTCGCGTAGGGTCGTAGCTGACGGGGGTCGGTATGGCGCACGCCTGGACGGTTGAACGAGGGCGAGGAGGTGAACGGAGGCGGTGGAGGCGGATGGAGAGAGAGTGGCTCCGCTTCCCTCCGAGGAGAGAAGAGAGAGCACCGGCAGTAGTAACCCGGCCAGTACCCCGCGCGCGGGTGCAGCTGCATCCGAAAAGCAAGTGTGTGTGAGAGTGCGTGAGAGTGGCAACCAAGGAGGCGTGTGTGTCCTGCTCAACGATCGCCACGAGGCTGGTGTAACATCTTAAGGGAAAAGGATCGTCGTTGTCGTCGTGTCTAATTGAAAACGAAAAAAAAAAAAAAAAAGAACGAAAGAAGAAGAAGCTTGACACGGTGTGCGTGTATAATCGAGTGCTCATTTGATAAAGCCTGTTCGGTGTCTACAGGGTTGGGTCATCTTCACCTATCGTCGTCTTCTGCTTCTTCTAAAGTAACCCAGACGAGTACACGTTAACCATGTCCCATCGATGCTTGAACAACGTCGTCCGATGCGTGTAACGTGTGTCCTAATAGAGGAGGAATGTGAAGAAAAAAAGAAGAAGGAAAGAAAGAAAGAGAGCGAGAGAGAGAGAGAGAGAGTGAGAGAGCGGCGCCATGTTACGGAGACAAGAGACCTCGAACGAGGATTCCTACCTGAGCGCGGGCAGGCCGTCGAACCTGCTGCGTACCAGCTTCAGCAGCGTCAAGCTAGAGACTCTCTATCGTGCCTCGTCGCTTCAACAGAGACGCGGTGGCCTCAAGTACTTCCTGCTCTCTGTGCTCCTCTACGGTGGACACACGTTAGTCTCGCCAGGTCAGGAGCTTCCAGCTAGAGGATGCACCGCTGTGTTCCTGGGCCTGAATATAGGCCTGGTAGCCTGGGCAGCGCAGAATCCTCGAGGAAAGGATGCGCTCTGGTCGGTGGTCCCTCACGTGGCCTGGGGGCTGTCCACCGCACAGCTACTCGCTCAGCTGTTCCTCAAGCCCACCGAGGTCACGCCTACGGACGGTCTAGGCTGGCTCTTGCTGCTCTTCTACCTGCTCTTCGCCACTTTGCCACTCAGGCCGCTCCTCTGCGGACTACTGGCGCTCACCACAGCGTTGTCCTACCTCGTCACCGTCGTGGGCCTGTCCAGAGTTCATGTGCAGAATATCATCGATGGTTTGGTAGGTATTGGAACGTTCCTCTTTGTTTTACGAGGGAGTAGTGTTTTATCATTGACACACCACTTGTTGAGAACTGGTTAATTCGGGCTAAGTAGGTCTGCGTCAGACGAGGTGATCTTTGATCAATGTGTGCTCCAATGGTTTCAAGCACTCAGGACGAGGTTTCGAGGTTAAAAATGTGTAATCGCTACTTGTTGAGGACTTGTTAATATAAGGGGGTATTTCAGGTGCCTGGGTAGGTCTGTGTTAGGCGAGGTGGTCTCTGATCAATGTTTGCTCAATGGTTTCAAGCACTCAGGATGAGGTTTTGAGGTTAAACGAGTGTAATTGAGTTGTTTGAAGTTTGGATGATGTATTAGTGACTTCGAGTCTTAGGTGACTGTTTCAGAGGAAGGCAGAGATCCTTTCGCGACGTTTAGTCAATAGTTGGACTAGTCAGGATGAGCCTTTGAGGTTAGACGAGTGTAATCGAGTTGTTTCAAGTTTTGATGACGTATGGAAGACTTTAAGCCCTTAGGTGACTGTTTCAAAGGAAAGTAGAGATTCTTTGATGATGATTGTCAGGTTATGTTTAGTCAAGGATTAGGTTACTCGGGATAAGGTTTTGGGTTTAGATGAGCATAATCGAGTTGTTTGAAGTTTGGACCATGTATGACAGACTTTGTGCCACTTGTTGAAGATTCTCTTTCTAGTTAGGTTAATATTTGAGGGATAATTTGAATTATGCAGTTAGTGGTTAATGGGTGATTGTTCGTAGGATTGTAGGTACTACAGTAGTGGTTTGAGGATGTTTGAAATTTTTGTAGTCATTCAGAGAAAGTAGACATTTTAGTTTTATTCTACAATTTCGAGAATCCAGTTGCTCCCTTTTGGTCCCTACAAATTCAACCACAATGCTACAATTGAGAACTATCCCATCCAAAATATCGGCCGTGCAGACATCACCTCAACGAGGACCACAATACTATACAAGGTGTACAAAGAAATACTAAGCAGCCGCTGTGATTAAAACATCTTCCATCCTCAACAATTCACAGCCTCACTCGAGTGATCGATTATCCGGCGAACGAGTGCCTCTATTATCTCCGTTGTCAGGCTTTTTAATTGTTTTATACCCTCCAGGCTCTCCGTCACTCTCACGACCGTCCAAAATTCATCTTCTTTCACCTGGTCGATTCCTTTCGAAATTCCGGGTCTCGAAAGCTCTTCGAAAGTCTGAAACGTCAGAATTGAGTTTCGAGGGTGTGAATTCGAGCGTGCCGACCTTGTGGAAACAACTGTTGCCGGCAAGAAATCCGGTGAACAAATCTGCTTGGCGGCAGAGCCTCCTTACGTGGTTTCCATCGATCGATACGCAACGATACGCGGCAGAGCTGGTCGCGCCTCGAAAGATCCATTGTTGAGGCACGCTTGAAGACGTTCTCGTTCGTCGATTGTTTTCTATTCGAACGTACGGAACAGCTGTGAATGGGAGAATACTGGAGTAGTCAGGAATCAACGAGGAAATGGATTTTTCTATTTTTGAAAATACCAAGGGACTGACAGTTCCCAGGTCTCGGGTAGTTGAAATTTTTTAAATAGAACATCCTCGATCGGCTGTGGTTAATAACCGTGGGCGGACCATGCAGGCGGATCGCACTGATATTCTCTTCTTTTTTTAAGTATCAGACTGATTATAGATTAGCCGGGATTTATAATTTTTCCGTCGAAATGGAAATTTTTTTTACGGAATCGATGGAGTAATTGATTTATCAAGATTAGGTATCGGTTCTTTCGGTATTCGCAATGGGGCAGACAGTTCCGATTACCTTGATTTTGACATATGTCGCCAAGGGCATGCTCCTGAGCAACCTCCAAAAGGTTCCAGCCGTCGTTCGTTATTCGTTGAGAAGTTATTAACGAATAACTCTCGTTACCGCTACAGCGAGTTCTGCCTGTAATTGTGCAGCTTATGCGACGCGTACGTGTGTGGAGACGTGTCGATGTCGACGAGAGTTAGAAAAAGCTACGGAGAGAGTTGTATCCTGCGATAAAATAGTTGAAAATTGTGTCTAATCGTGAACGTTCTATCGTGTTCTCTCATGAATTTATTCATTCGACTCGCAATTGTGATAATTTGATAAATTACCTAAGTGCAAAAATAGTGCTTCGGATCCACGCTACTTGCACACGATGCAACGAAGAGATTCAATTAAAAATTTGCCTTTAACGCATCGTACTAAAACGTTGTGTGCAAGTACGTGGACGCAATAGCAAAGAAAGACGTGCAATTTTAAATTGAGTGCATTGACAGGAACACGGATTAGTAAAGGACATTTAAATTTAACTAAAGTATGTCCTATTGTTTGTTACCTTTTAACGGTGAACTCCACACAACGAAATGGATTGGATCAACTTTTGCCGGGAAGTCTAACACGAGTTTGTAAATTAATTTTTTCGAATGGAATACTTTTTTGAATAAGATAACTGTACCGAATTATGTTTCATAGTTACTAAATCAATGGTCGACTGACAGTAGTAAACAGCTGAGCAGTACAGGGATTATTGTTGAGATAGACGTAGCAAAATTCGGACGGCGAAAATATTGCAAAGGAAGATTGATTACTGGACAATGGTTATTTGGGGGTGTAGTAGCTTATTTGCAGTACCAGTGCCAAATAGAACATTAACACCGACATTTCTCTCGGAACTATAGTATACAGTAACTGTTCGCATGCTTGCAATGCTTCGTGTGAAGAAAATCATATAGGTACAACAATATATTAACCATTCTTGTAACTTTGTAGATCCTATTAACAGAACTCAAACTGAAAATATCGAAAGATTATGGCGTGACGTACGCAATGGAATACTCCATTTTGGTACACGCGAAAATCATTCTATACATTATTTAGCTGAATTTATGTATTTTCAAACGGAAATGTCTATGTAAAACGAATTGAGAAGCTTTTCGAAATTATGGCTAAATTTTATCCACTCGATGAACTAAATAATGAGTGAACTTCTCGTAAGTGTCATTTTAATCAGCAAAATTTCACCAATATTTTCATGAAATTTTTATTAACGAAAAATTGAAGATAACAAACTTTTGTCGTTTTGTTAGGGTTGTCTCACCGACATGTCGCCACCGAATGCGACAAGGAGATGCCGTGTCATTTAGTTGCTTGCCTGGTTCAAGGGTGGTCCCCCCTTGTGGTGGGGATGGACCATGGACAGTTAACGCGTAGATCCCAACGAACTCTTATAGAGTCTTTACTGTAATATGAAAAATGGAGTATTTTCAGTTATTTCAATAATTATGAATTTCACCTTGTGTGGCCGGCCGGGATATTAATCTGCCCTGACCTAACCTAATCCACCAATTAGATTAGATTAGGTTAACTTAGGTCATTCTTGGTTCCAGCTAGTTCGCCCGTTATACAGATTAGTTGCAGTCCGCCGCGATGTTTATAAAAACAGTATGTTGACGCATACGCTGCGACGGCCGTACACGTATAGGCAGAATTCGGTGCAGTGGTGACGACAGTTACTCGTTAATAACTTTTCAACAAATAACGAGCGACGGCTAAAACTTTTTGGAGGTTGCTCGGGAGAATGCCCTTAACAACGTATGTCAAAATCAAGGTCATCGGAGCTGCCTCCCCTATTGTTCTTATTTTTAATTTACAGAAAATTGAACTTATCGTAAGAAGATAGCGATGCTATTTTTAAGTATCTACTATTCTAAGATAAATTCGATTTTCGGTAAAGTAAAAAGTGTGCTTAATCCGAAGATCCGTTATTTACACGAGCATCGATTAAAATTCAGAGAACAATTTGAAAAATTGCGAGTAAAATAAAAAGTGACGTGTTCTGTGAATTTCATGCATTTCGATGGGAATTTGTAAATGTCCGGAAATTAGAAAATTTCCATCAGAAATTCACTCAAACAAAGTAACGATGATTAAGATTCGCAGAATATATCATTTTCTATTTTACTTAAAATTCTTCAAATGTCGAATCAGAAAGGATTCGTTAAACGTTTAAATAATTCATAGAATATACGCTTCTTTAAACTATTATTTTCACTTTGAACATTTAAAACTGCTACACATTCAACGATCATCGTGGACAAAAACCGCGTCGTTTCAATCCGACAGATTCCTCATTTGTCTCGTAGCAGAGCGAACGAAAGCACGTAAAATTGGCGGAGCGAAATCGGCAAGAAAATTTACGCAACTTGCCTAGAAATGCAACAAGTTAACGTCCTCACTGATTAACTTTTCGGTGTTCCCGAATTTACGGGAGGCAATTTTCAAACCGCTGTCAATTTCTATGGGACGATCGATTCCCTTCCCTGGGATAAATAACTCCGGCTCTTTATCAATCGCTCGATTAACGAGAATCCTTCAAAAACGAAAAGAAGCTCTCTCCGTTGAACCACGAAAAAATGACCCAAAAAGAGAAAAATCGTCACGTTTTAATTCCTTCTTGAAAACTTAAAAAAAAGTCTCTAAAGGCGACCACCGGTTCGTTTGTTCTCGTTCGAACAAAAAAAAAAGGCACAGTTTCCATCTGAATCAGTGTTCCGAGATTTTTAATTAGTGGCTCCTGTGCGAATACAGGCGGCGCCCGGTTTCAGCCAGGTCGCTAATTAAAGCGACGACGTTTCTTCACCCTATAAAAGAAGGCGAAGAGCGAGGGAGGAAGGGAAGAAGTTTTAGTGATTAGGCGTGGAAGTTCCGCTGTCGTGATCGGTCTTCGAGGGTAACGCTCGAATTCAACTGAAACGTCGATTAATCGACCACTGATGACGGCTGCTAATGAACAGCCTGTCGTGAGCATTAGCATCGCAAATTCAGCTGGCTGACAGGAAGCTCGAATTATCAGGGACGCGTTTCGACTAGTTTTCCAGATCGTAGCTGGATAAAGTCCGCGAATTGTGAGTTTCTTTTCTCGCGTGACAGAGTTGATCGATGGATGTTAGCTCGTGCGTGAAGAGAATTTGTGGACTCCTACTG